GCGGCAGGTAGGCCGCAGGCCGCTCCGCTACCCGGACAAGGCCTGTGGTACAACTATTCGCATTTAATGTGTAAATCCAGCTAAGTGCGTGTCCGAAGCACATATCTAGCAAATCTTCCGACACGCACTTAAGTGGATTTACGCATTAAATGCGAATAGTTGTACCACAGGCCTTGTCCGGGTAGCGGCACGGCCTGCGGCCTACCTGCCGCTTTTCCATCATCAGCCTTTCCTCGCCTTTCGTCACCCACCCGTCCCGCTTGTTCATCGCCCCCCCGACGTCGCGCTTCTACATCACGTCCATCTACTGGATGGAACACGTCCCAAACCTTACATCCTTCTTCCTCCTTTCTTCGGTACTCTACATCGACACCGCCTGCGAAACAACAACGTCTTTCAAATCCAACTCCTCAACCCTCCACTACCAAGGCATCAATTCTGCCTATTTCAACCACAACGACACGTCCTCCACCTTCGTCTACGCTTAATGCCCTCACTCGGCCTACCTCCACAGCACTCATCATTCAACCATAGTTCCCGCCTCAACAATACCACATACCACTCCCCCGCCTCTTGCACGGTGGATGACTCTCTGCTGCCCCCACTCCCTGCCTATCGCATTCACCCTCCACGCACGCCTCCCAACTCAAACAAACTCACTACACGACCTCCCATGCCTGTCAATTATGTTAACCCGGCTGCACGACAGCTACCCGTACGCCTCAGCCGTCGTGGTGGCGCCTACAGCGAATCTCCGCCTCCCCGCGCTGTGCGTCCTTATTATTCCTCCGATGAAGAAGATCGCTAGGGTCCAATTCATGATGTCGCCTACGGTCAAATGGCCAACATTATTGCCGACGCCTTTCACCAACTCTCTTATGACAAGTGTTTCGCCTATCATCTTTTCAAGCACCAAACCGGTCTAAGCGCGACCACCGCCTATCCCGCTCATCAAAGACAACCTCTAACTCAAAGACTACCAAGCCAACCCCACGCCTCCCACAATGACCACCCTCTTTCCCTTCTACGTTGGAATCACCTGGGACACAGTCTGCCTGAAGGTGTACTTTCCCAACGACACCAAGCCATTCCCCTGGAGCCTTCCTTTTATTCTCAACTCTCAAATGAATGGATCAACGACTCTGGTGCCACCGCCTCCTGCACGCCTCACCGACGCTACTTCATCGACTCCGCCTTTGTTGACAAATCTTTTACTCTTCTTGCAGCCGGCGATGGTGGCAAACTTCCTGTTCTTGGCTACGGGCCGATCGATCTTGGCGTTACCACCCACTCTGGCGAACCTCAGCCAATCTCACCGCTTATCATGAGCCTCTCTCTCTACCCTTTGCCCTGCCTAAAATATTCTCCGTCACTCCGTTCAAGCCGGCGGCCACTTCGACTTCTCGCATCCATCGCACTGCCTCATGGACATCGGTCGTGGCCATTATTTGCGCGCTCAAGTTAACGCCTTGGGACTCAACTCCTTTCCGGCGCAGCCCTACACACGCCTAACCAGCAACCCTCACCCTCACCCTCCAGCTGCCGTTGCAGCTGCCATCATGGAATTTCAGGCTAACTTAGCAGCTCATCCTTCCCTTAGTGATGCAGACCCATTCCATATCAACTTCGCCACGCCTACTCCGTCCTCCATTACTACGCTTGAGTCTAACATCCAAGCCGCGGCGCGCTCCGAAGTAATCGATCAATTGCACATCTATATTATTTACTTTGGACGTTCACCTACACACACTATTTTCAAGTCTCCATCAAGCAAGGCTGTACATTTCTCATTACCACCTACCACCAAGCTCTCTCCCCAAACCCCAACGCCTCATCCCAACGCCTCGTCTCTCATCTCCTGTTTATCTGGCACCTCGAAATTTCCTTCCGTCCACGCCTTGTCGCTCACTTCCAACGTTGCCACCCCAATCCAGTCCGCTCCCATCTCTCCATCTACCACCACACCCCTTCTATCTCCGCCTCTTCCTATCACTCCAATACCCACGACGCCTTCTCTCGCACTGGCTACTGCCACCACCTCTAACACACGCCTATCCAACGAAGCCCTATTTCGTCTTGGCACAACCGCCTCGGACACCCAAGCTACACCGTTCTCCAAGGCCTCGTCAAGACCCACCCCGACTTCTCCACCGACCGCCCACACCTATTTAAGTCCTTCACCTGCGACACTTGCGAAATCGCCAAGTCCCGTCGACAACGATACTCCTCCTCCGCCGTGTTCCGCGCCTTATCCTTTCTCCTCCTCGTCCACACCGACATGTGGGGTCCGTGCCCAGTGCAGTCGATTGGTGGCAGCTTTTACTTCGTCGTGTTCATCGACGACTATTCCTGCTTTACCTGGGTCTACCCTCTCGCCTTCCGCAAAGATCTTTATGACGCCTATGAACTCTTCCGCCTCCAAGCTATCACAACCTTCAAGACCGACATCAACAACTCTTCAGTACCTACCGCCTACCGACATCGGTAATCTACAAGCTGACAAAGCCAAGTAATTCGAGAAACTCGGTCGCATCATCAGACCTAAGTACTCTACCAAGACCACTTTCTCCAACGCCTACTCGCCTGCTCAGAACGCCGTGGCCGAACGCCGCATTGGATTACTCGTAATGAAGATGCGAGCGCTCCTACTGGCCGGCAATCTCCCCAAGTTTCTGTCGGCCGAAGCCATTATCTACTCTGCCTGGCTCTACAACATTTCGCCTTCCACCTCCAACGACGGACAGTCGCCGCACCATCGCGTTTTCTCCCGGCACCCACCCCTCGCCGACACCCGCACCTTTGGCTGCACCGCCTTCGTTCATATCCAAAAGGCTAACCAAACGAACAAACTCGACGCGCGTGCCATCAAATGTATGTTTGTGGGTCTACCCGATGATCGCAAAGGCTACAAACTACTCAACGCCTACTCCCGTGACGTCGTTTTCCACGAAGATGAATCCCCAGCCACCAACACCATCCAAGCTGCAGCAGCATTTCGCCTTCGCGCCCGTGATGCATCGGACAATCCATCCATTAACCCTCATGAACCTCTACCGCCTCGATCCGGCCATCTTTCCTCCACTTCCTTCAACTTCTCCATCGCCTACCACCGATCCACTATCTCCACCCTACGTTTACTCCCTGTCTGCCGCTTTCGACGAACTCCAACTTGCTCTACCATACCGCAGTCCACTATTCCATCCGCCTGCCACCTACTTGCCCAACATCACAGCTGCTCTACTCCGTCGCCTACACTACCAGGAACTCGTGTTCTCTCCGCCTCCCATTTACCCTTCGTCGATCTCTCCATTGACGAACTTGCTGCCCTTCCACCGCCACCTTACCCCTACCCTTTCCCGCCTCTCTCGGCGCCTACACAACCCCTGGATCCGCCCCTTTATCCGCCATGGCAACTACGACCTTGAGGGTCATCAAGTTGAGGTGAAGACCGCCTTCTCAACCGGACCATGGACCGAGTCGTCTCCATGGAGCAGCCGCCTGGCGATCTCGAGACCGATGTCTCCCGCAGCGAACTAGTCTGCCGCCTAAAACGCAGCCTTTATGGCCTCAAACAAGCGCCTAACCTATGGTACTGGACCTTCGACGACTACATAACATCCCAAAGTACACCCGCCTACACAAAGACCACTGCGTCTTCATCAAGTCCGACGTCTCCAGCCTTAACATTTCAGCCTCTACGTCCACGACCTACTTATTCTTGCGCCTACTCTATCTCTCGTCCTCGCCTTGAAAGCTTCTCTCTCTCAACAGTGTGCCATGAAAGACGTTGGCGAAGTCTCCGATATTTTGAGACGACAAGTCGAACGCAATCGAGCAACCAAGACCATTTTTCTACACCAATCTCGCTACGCCGAAGCCATCCTAGACCGTTTCGACATGGTGAACTGCAATCCAATCTCCACTCCTTTCAACCCCAGTCTAACTCTATCCGCCTCTCATTGTGTGACGACGCCTCACGACTACGGCTTTATGATCGGCAAGAACTATCGCTCAGTCGTCGGCAGCTTCATGTACTTAGCTATGGGCACTCGTCCCGATCTCGCCTGCACTCTCCAACAACTTAGTCAGTTTTTCCACAACACTGGCCCTACTCATTGGTCTGCCGTCCAATATGCCCTTCGTTGTCTCAAAGGCACCCGCACCTATTGCATGAGCCTTTGTGTGTTGACACTCGACGTTGTATCAGTGGATTTTTTACCCTCTTTTTCGGCTCACCCGTGTCGTGGCTTGCCAAGAAGCAACCCGTCGTCACCCTGTCCACCACGGAAGCTGAGTTCGTTGCCTTCGCCTGATGCATTCAAGAACTTCTCTATTTACGTCAACTCGCCTCTGAACCCCACAAACGTCCGACCAACCCATCCTAGTCCATGAAGACAATCAGTCCACCATCAAGATCGCTACCAACGCCGAACTTCACGGCCGTTCAAAGCACATCGACGTCCGCTACATGAATGTTTCACCAAACCTCTTCCGACACCCGCCTTTGCCGACCTACGATCACGCCTCTCCATCATTCCCCTCTCCGCCATCTCAAACGCCGATCAATACATTTTTTTTATATTCACAACTCTAGTCTACGCCTTCCCGCCTATCCAACTCAACTTTCTTTACTTCTCTTCGTCAGTGCATATCGCCGCCTACACCCCCCCAAACTTTACCTCTCTCCTCTTCGCCTACCTTACTCCTTCCAATTGTTTTTACTACGCCTTACAGTCTACGCCTACCACCTACATTCCTTCTTTCTTTCCTCTATTACTCTGCCTTACCATCGACGCCTAGCAAGTCTAAGTCATCTTCGCCTCACGCACAGTTTTTTTTCTTTCTATCTAACTACGCCTTACCATCTACGCCTACCAAGCCTAACTGTAAACTATCTTTGCCTTGTGCATTTCCTTCTACTTTTCCCTTCTTCGACCTACGCCTCTTCTCCTACTTATATATTTCGCGCCTATATATTCATCATCTACCCTACGCCTTTTTCGCGGCCACTCATGGCTTTCTGCTCTGTTTGTGAGCCCTGCAGCCCGTTCAAAGACGTGCCCATTTCAAAGACGTGCCCATTTTTCGGCTTGTGAAAAGTGGTGGCTATCAAGTGGTGCTTTTCTCTCGCCTGTATTCACGCCTTTTGTCCTCGCCTATCAAGTCTCCCAAACTCTATCGCCTAGTCTATCAACTCTGACAGGCCTAGACAGTGGCCGCTTTATACCTGCATGTTCTGTATACTCCTATTATTCATGTCGCTACCCTACCCTAGTGATTGCTCACCCAATCACGGCTTTAGCACAAGGAAAAGAGCGCTGATTCTCACACGTCAGTGTTTTCCTTTGGCTGAGTTTTAGCCAATAGGAACGAAGCTAGATAGTTTGTAATCGACTGAATCTCACTTTTCGATTTCCCCTGTCCCGCACACTTGGTTTGTCTTGGACACTCTGCGCAAAGTTGCTACACGCCTATCACCCACGCCTACCTCCTGTTTCCAGTAGTACGCACTATAAGTGCGCGACTCGGAAAAATAAAGTATACCTCCTCGTATAAAAATACAAAACACTCCAAGATCCTATAACGATCATGCATTTATAAAGGTGTAACGATACAATTGTCCAATCATACCAATCAAAATGCATGTCTCAGGACCAATCACGCGTCGTACCATGGCCGGGTGGCAGTTAGTTGTACTTGGCTGCGAGTGTTTGACTGAGGTTATTGGGAAGCGTGACCAAGTAGCTGCTGTTGCTGTGCAGCAGCACTTCACGGAGTATGGCCTCGCGCTCGCTGTTCGTCAGGTTGCGCTTTTTGACTGTCATTCCTGAATGTTTGTCATTCTGAGTGTTTGTTTTATACAAAGTATTTTATTGATGTATTGAAATCATCACAGCGACTTCATTTCGTTGAATTTCCCGCTCGAAGTTGGAGCAAATCGGGGTTTTTGGCACTGGCTTTCGATTGGTCCAATCAGAGCGACCCAAGAGGGCGATTTCGATTGTCAAAATTGTCTTGAGAATATAATGAGAAGTCATGTCAACCCTCCTCTAGGTCGCGCACTTATAGTGAGTGACACGGAGGGAGTCGTCTAATCATTGCAAAATCCACACTTTTTAACCCGAAACCCCGTCCCTATCACAAATGACCACAATTAAGCCTATTTCCAGGGTTAAGATGAATCGCCAATGGTTAGCAAGTATCGCTAACCACAGTCAATCAACTTAACCCTTAGCAAGACTTCGTGATGCTTGTAGCTAATGAATAGCGTTGGCTCGTGAATGTTTGTACCTACACTGTAGTTCAGAGGTGTAAAATACCTAATACTGTACTCCTGTTAGGTAACTGAAAACTACCGTAGACGGTACAGACGGTACAGTACTATAGTAGTACAGTATACGAAGAATCAGATACACCAGTACAGTGTAGTCAGATACTACGTAGTAATTCGGAATAGTACGAGTGGGTGGTCAATTTGAGACAATACAATGTACTAGTGCATCAAAACGATTCCTCGCAGAACGACGGCGACCCATGCATCCAAGGAGCTCGCTTTGACGACGCCGCCAATACGCCATCAAATCGGAGATGAATGTCAAAGAATTTACAACAGCATTTCAAGAATCTACAATTACAGAATCCAGAATCTACAACTTCAACTTATCCATATGTCGCACACGGTATTATGCACCTTACCATTTCAAGCTTTGTATGCTTTTGCCCGTACCCTTGTAACCCCGGGGAGCAGCGGGAAACAACAAATAGGCAAGTTAAAAAACCATTCAATTAATGATATGGTTAACCGAATACAACGGAGACTCGTACTTGATTGCAACCTGAGCAATGTTTACCACCGCAAGAAAGCACGACGGGTGGAGGCTGATATCGTGTCGGAATGTGTTGTGCAAAACACCGAACTGCTTCAACCGAGCATTGGCAGTTTCGTGTCGAGGCATCACTGCTTTCTGAGCAACTGAGGATGCTGGGTAGTATCGAGGGTTCACAAAGTACGCTCGGTCCATGTATCCCTTGTCATCTCACCTTCGTTAACCGCGAGCACGTATACATCACGCGCGAGAGCTAGATCCGACCATTGACCACATGGTTTTCCACCATTTACCCACACAATATGCCCCGTTCTGATACAAATACCGACTTCGTAACGTATCCCAGCTCGGTTCAACTTGTGCGACCACCAGGATGGGTCGAAAGGAAATGGTTCCTGAACTGGACAGTCGGTTCCATCTAGTGATACGAAAAGGTTTGTTCCCATCGGTGCTTCATCAAACCGATTGTTGAACACAACCTACACGTACAATTGAGACACATGAGACAACTTGTAATGAAACAATACACCTCCGTTAGGTCTTCAAATGCTTTGATGTACATCCATGACCACTTTCGATACGTCTTTTCGTCAACGGCTGCAATGGTTGCATGTACATGTTCCGTCCCGTAGACTTTTAGGAACATGAGCGCCCAAAGTAGGTGTCTTGGTTGGCCGCCTCGTGGGTGGGGCTCGAGTTTCGCCCACAAGACGGAGGTAACATAGAGCGTTGTCCCAAACAAAGCGACAAAACGACGAGCATTTGTCGTACTCGTTGATGAATGTCGACCGAGGATAGGCTTGGCAGCTTCCCACATCACAAACTCGTTCCGCGACATCGCCATTTTGTCCAAATGTCTTTGTTTGATGGAACAAAATCTCATTTAAGTTCTGATTTTTTCGCACTAAGTACGATTTTGATTTAGACAATTTTAGACAATTTTAAACAATTTTAGACAATCTCAGATAATTTTAGATAATTGTAGACAATTGACATAAATTGCTATCAACGACTTTCACACGGGTATAAATCCGCATTTTTGACCCGATTAGCAAAGAATTGAAAGTAAATCATATCGTCGATCAAGTATCATTCAGATGCAACATTAATTACGAAACAATACATTGTCCAAGTCTAGTTATTCGCTGTCAAACTGAGCTAATTTCGAGAAAATCGTTAAAAAGGCTATCTTTTTGATGCTTCGTAGGGTCGACTAGCGATGTGCTAAATTCCTTAAACCAAGTGCCTGACATAGGTAACACATAGTACTACCATCAAGAACTAAAATGATGACCATATACGTCGTTTGAAGTCTATAAAACGGCACCGAAAGTTGACCGATTTCTAGTAAAACTAAATATTGCACGATAAAACCTATTTAGACGTTGTCAGATATCTAAAAATATCCGGAGACAACCTTTCAAGATAATCCGGACAATCCTAGATCCGAACTTAACAGGGATAAATTCAAATTTGAGCGCGCAATATCGATTTATCCCCCCATGGCACGTCGGTGGTCAAAGAACTCAGCAGCACAGCACCATCTCAAGTCGCTCTTCGACGATCACACCATCACAGCGCGTACCAAAGCCGCCGAAGCCTACAATCTTAGTCCAATCTTCCACGAGTTCAACTTTGCCGCATTTCAAAAGCATTACGACACGACGTTTAAGATGAAATTCGCTAACTTTCATCGACCAGGTGGGATAAGCATCGCGTCAGATGATGATTAAACGTTATATTGAGTAGGAAAGCGAAAGGCCACTGTTGTGTCTGATCAAGAAGATCAAATCCCGTTCTTATCCAGCTAGCATCCTGCAGTGGAGTTTACAAATGATTCGTCGGACGATGTGCGCGTCGATACAGTGTCCATCTCCAAACCAGAGTGCTTGGTTGGCGAGTTTTACGACTACGTCAAACGTGAAAGCAATGCCATTGTGGTACTATTGGTGCCGAGTGGAGCAAAGGGTGCCTGCGAGGTGGACGCCAACGACCTCTCCGTGTTGAGAGTGCGTTGGGAGTGGACGGCGAATACCTGCGATCCACAGTTGTTGTTTGCAAGTGAAATGGCAACACCCAACCACCGGACGTATGCTAAAATATCGGGCTTGCAAAAGGCCTACGGAAGCGTTTGCGGCAAGAACGGGTCGGCTCCGGTTACCGAAGGTGCGATACACCTGCCATTTGCCGTTCGAGTGTGCAACGAGAATGCATGAAGGTGACCAACGTTGAGGGTGCTGCGCCAAAGATGATCATTGAGTTAGTTGCTGATACGGGAACGCATAACTCGGAGCTATTGACTGAGTTTACAGTCTAATTAAGTATGGTTTTATTTGAATATGGGTTTGAACATTTCGCTATACAATATATTTCGCAGTAATCAATGTTAGCCATATATCCTTAACATATTTTTCTGTAGGTTTGAGCTTGATCCCGCAGCTCCCGGAACCCCAAAACCCCTTGTGTTTACATATAATGCGTGCCCCTAAACCACTTTTGTTTTCATTTAATGCCTGTTCCCGGGTTATGTTGCATCGCCAGGGCTTAGCTAACACCAACCACTGTCCCCCCTTGCTGGAGTACGTATGTGTGTGTAACAGGTTGATCAAACTGATCCTGATATTCCAAAGCATACAAAGTTTAAGTATAGAACTTGTACTCATGGTTCCAGTTGGATATTCTTGCCAGAAGTTGATTGGAAGTCACATAGGTTATTTCCAATTTACTAGTAGTACTCTATCTGCTGCTCATGAACCCGATAGTACTACTTCACTTGAAGTACTATTAATAGTTTCGTGTGTACTGGTGCTGTGGACCTCTTGACCTGATCATAAGGTTTACAGTAATGACCTCGGAATATCGGTATGTATCCCAAGGCTACGTATGTGGACACAAGCAAGCCTGCCAATGCCATTACTAAGTACGCCCATATATCAGTCTGAGAGTTCCATCCAAATTCCTACCACGTCGACCAAGGAACATGGTACAGTACATGTGGACGAGTTGTGGGGATTTGATACTTGTGACCAACATCAAACGTCGGAAGAGCCTGAACTTATCATTGGCAGTGTACGCGGACGGAGTGTGCCGGGTAAAGCATCTACAGTCCACACCCAGTCCACACCCCGTCCGTATGCAAAGATCCGTCGTTTAGCTCGTGCAAAGATGTCTTAACGTTACATTGATTGTGGGATAATTCACGTACCAAGTACATGAAGCCGAACAAGCCTGCCAAGGTCATTGCGCCCCTCTATCTGTCTGAGAATTCCTTCCAACTTCCTACCACACCATCACAAACCCATTCCAGGACGCTGTGACAGCCCACAATACCTTTCCTCATTATTCATTTTCCCATGAAGTACTCCCTCCTCAGTGCCATTGCCGTCTTCGCGGCGGCGGCCACCGCCCAAACCAAGAACGCCATCGCGGTCATCGACGATCGCGTTCGTTCGCTCCAGGTGTCTGAACCCGAAGGCGATGACAACTTCGACCCCAGCGAGTTGGTGTATGAAGGCGATTCTGACATCGACGCCAACCTGGCTTGCCAGGAACAAAACACCAACTACATCCCGTCCCTCAAGGCCGGGCAGTACTCGACCAGTGCGTTCCACAACTGCTTCCGCACCATCGAACAAATCTTCGAGTTCACCGATGCGTTGGCCGCCCAAAACCCGACGTTGTTGACGAAGTTTGCCATCTCCAAGACCTACTCGAACAACACGATTTACGGGTACAAGTTGTCCAAGGACAAGGGTCAATCGCAGTCGCTGTACTTTCAATCCCAGCTACACGCCCGCGAATGGGCCGCGGTGTCGTCGGTTGTGTTCTCGTTGGCGTCGATTCTGGATGACATTGCAAACAACAAACCTACGGCCGCCGACGAGTACGACTTGTACTTTGTGCCGATCGTCAACGTCGACGGCTACATCCTCACGTGGGAGGGCGGCTATCGACTCCAGCGCACGAATGTGAATGGTGTCGACTTGAACCGCAACTGGCCGACTCCCTACGTGAACCCCAACCCCCCTGCGAGAATCCACGAGACGTACCCCGGACCTAACCCGTTCAGTGAGCCTGAAACCGCGGGCATCAATGATTGGTTGAAAACCAAGCGAGATGAAATCCAAGGGTTCTTCGACATTCACACGTACGGGGGGGTCATCTTGTACCCATATGGGGACAACAACCAGACAATTGGCGGGGGGTTTGACGAGAAGTTCCAAGTCCTCGGTCGTGGATTGCAAAGCGCCATGGGGAAGTACGAGTCTAAACCGTTGTACACATTTTACGTTACGTACGGGACGGTCGCAGATTACGCCTTCCGCGAGTTCAAAAAGCCCTCCTTGACGATTGAAATTATTGGCAGTACATTTAACGTGAGCACGTCGACCATCCCGGTACGCGGCCTCGAAGTGTACAAAGGCATCAACCAATTCGCCAAGGAAGTCACCGTGTTCAACGGCGGAGACATCAAGACGTCGTGTGGCGATTAGGAGCCAAGAGCTCGACTTAACAGTCAAATCAATGGTAGTACTTTCTTACTATCTGCGGTTCGTGGTTCTCAACTTCTACAAGTACAGTGTAGCACGGAGACATACCGGTAACGTCGCCAAAATCCTCCGTACTCCTAGGCAATGTAAAAATTGACATCATAAAACAACCCAGGTACTGTACATATACTGTACAGTAGTCCCCCACAATAGCGAACCTTTGATCGCAATCCGATATTAGAGGTATCACAGGACTAAGAGGTATAAAATGCTACAGGATATTTGCTTGGGTACCAAGTCTCTGATTGGTCAGAATAATCCATATGTTTTGTCAAACCACGACAACGAAAGTGCCCTGATTGGAAAATGGATAACATATTCGAATTCAGGAGGGGGTTGATACCCTGGCAAACTCCAGAAGACAAAACCCATCACATTACAAGTTATTAAAGCTATTAGTCAATTCGTACACTACTTCAAGTATTCCAGTATGCAGTATGCGGTAAGCCACCCCGACATAGTTGACTTGGCAGGTACTTTGGGCAGCTAGAAAGCCGCGAGCGCCCATTGGCGCAGGCGGAGGCCTCGTAGCGTTGGATTGGACTCATGTTGCTCGAGCAACGTTGATTTTTGCTCGTCAGCCGTAGCCTCGACGGCTGTGGCGACGGCATGATTTGAGTACCAAATACTTGTTTATCATGTGTTGTGGACTATTTCAAATTTTGAAAAAAAAACTCTATAAACGGATGTATGAGTCTTTTGGAATTTTATACATTTGGAAAGGATATCGACTTTACGTGGGTTCGGTATAGTATACTACGTAGTACATGCTTAGTGAAACATGATGTATCGTGCTTTTTACAACTTTTGATTATGGATCTAAAACCCCTCTTTTAAACATGGACCCACGAAATATTAGCTTGAGTCCACTTGATTTTAGTAAAACGAAGCAAGCACCAAACGTATTGTGCTTTTCATCTTTTTTTACTAATCCATGGCTCAAACCCTCCTTTGATAAATTTTCCATCCTAAGATTAGGGTAAAGTAAGGTATTTTACGGATTGGGACCCTCATGACTTAACCGATTGCCACAGTGTTTTGTCTCCCGCTTTTTCTTGGCTTTCGGCCACGGGACCTTCGTCAAGGCAGCAAATATACACACTGACATTAGTGAGGTTAAACACGCCACGAGGCGCCTACTGACTACCATTCACTAAAGTAATCAGTACCTCCACTAAGGTATCGGAACCTTTGACAAGCCACACACACAGTGTGTGTGTGTTTGCAATGGGTCAAACTAACGCGCGACCCAATTGCTCTGCACGCTGCAGAACACTTCCCCTCCTACGGAAAGTCCAGTGTCTTGGTGAGGGCGGCCACGGCAGGGTTTTCCTTGTTCGCTGGTGCCCACGTGCCAAATACGACTGGAATGTCGTCCAGCAAATTCGCCGCAGGTTCCCAGGACGATTCTTCATCGTCGAGTCCAAGCCACTACACCAAAACTTGGTGTTGGCCATCCACGCAGCGCGCTTCGTCCAGGCGTTCCATATGAAATCCGCCAGCGCCAAACGCGATCTGCGCCTCTGCGCCTCGAGGTCTTCGGTCACTTCTCTACCACCTTCGTGGTACATCTTCAATCGGCACGCGTGATGACCATGACTTCATACGGTGGCACCAGCTGCTGAGTCTCCATCACATGGTCTGTAATGACTCTGGTCACTTGGCAGGGTCCATGCCAATGCAGTGCCAATTTCGTCGGACGGTTGAAGACCATTCCGACAAGCACAAAATCGCCGACCGAAAAACACGCAAACTTGACTTGGGACTTTCGGTCGCGGTGTCCACGCGCTTGCTGACGCAACTTGTCGCTTCGCACCGCCACGTGGCGGTGCATTTCTTCTAGCGCAATTTGGAGGTCCGTCACATGTTTCTGACGGGCGGCGCCAAGCCAGTCCGCGACGTAAACTTCCTTGGACGTCGGGTGGACAAATCCTGCCAGCGGGGTCTTCGCTGGCAGGGCGGTAAACGATGTCACAGGCGCAATTCCTCCCAGCCGGTCCGCCGGCTGATGGTTGAGGGCGCCTTGAAC